ACGGCAACGGCAACGGCAACGGCAACGGCAGCTGTCTGAATGCGGACGCATGAAATGGAAAGAAATGGCATTTAAGAAAAGCGAAACGAGAAAAATAAGGAGCTAAACGACTTTGGAAATTCCATTTAAGCAAACAACAGGCACCATCCAACAGCCAAGTCAGCAGGCGGAGTTTGAGTTGGAGTTTCGCCTGTAGCCCGGGCCATTTGCTGCTCTCCACGAATCTTCTGGCTTGCGTCTATCCAAGCTCTGGCCTGAGACATGCATCTGTTATACAAGACGGTATTCGGAGCACTTTTAGTTGTCATATCTACAAATTCAGTGGGACCCCTTGCACAAGTTGTCACTTAGTATGCGCCCACAGATCCTACAACAGCTCTCATTCTACATGAATACATCCATGTGCATGTCTACATACGTATTGCAGTGCTGGGCAACGTTGGCGCACATAATGCAAATGGCATAAGAGACGAGCCAGCGGCATCCGATCCAATATTTGCGCCAATAAATAAATTTAATGTACAAACTCCGGGCATGCGAGAGAATATTAAAAACGAAAATTATATTCTACCCAGAAGCTGCCAGGCACACACACACACACACACACACACACACACACACACTCATATATACATATATATGGATTTATATATGTATATGTACATATTCATGCCAACCCAACTCATCTTTGTGGCCCTGGCTCACATGTGTGTGCACATTTGCACATTTGCATAAATATAATTATGAAACGGAAAATTTAAAATTGCATTCGTTTGAAAGGCAAAAAAAGTAAAGCTATGTTCATGCGGAAATTGAAATTATTATTTCGAGTCCCCTTTACAGTGCACAAATAAAGTGAAGACGATGGTAAAATTCAACCGCAGCATCTCATTTTCAATTATAAATTACAGTTGTTCCCCAAGTAATTTTAATATATGTAATTTGTAGTATGCGTAATCCATTTGGAATTGGCACTTTTACTCAGATTTGCATTACAATATTTTCTTCATAAATACGTACATATCTTCTATTTGATTTTCATACTTTCAAGAAAACTTTCGATATATTTTAAAAATATATATGCATTTAAATGTAAGGTTTCTCTCTCTCAGATTATTTTTACTTGCTGTCTATTTAGTACGTCCTCCTCTCTCTCTCTCTCAAGTAAGGAATATAATATTATACTATATCAATAACTCTCAATATTTTGTACAAATGACTACTTAAACTTTAAAATTATATTAAAATATTAAAAAATATAAAACACTATTTTAAAATGCAGTCGACTTATCATACCTTTGTAGAGGGTAATAAGAGGGATAACAGGGAGACAGCGGAGACACCTCCGACCTCATAAAGTGCATATATTTTTGTTAAATTCTCTACTTTCTTATTTGCTTGAGCCCTATTACAATAGACTTAATTAATAATGATACGATAAATGTCATAGAGTATGTACAAAAACACACACACATTCGGCATTCACATATGCTGAGATATAACCCCATATCTACGAAAAGTTAATGCACGATAAATGCTTGTCTTATGTGTGTTGATATATATGCTTATAACGCACTTTGCAATCGAAGCACGTATCGTTCATGTTTGGTGATTATAAAGTTTTAATGAATACGCAACACATCCTCTCAGCCCAATCCTAGCTGCAGATCCAATGGCAATTCCGAGTTGGATGCACGTTGCTGCTGCTTGTTTCGAAGCCCGTTCATGGATACGGCAACTGCAGTGGCATTTTATTTTTACAACGACATCGCACAAAGCTCTGTGCCTGGCAGGATATTAACACGTACATGTGTACCAACGCAGGATGTGCGAACATCCAACGTCCTTACAATACATAAATATGAACGACTCCAAGAAGACAGAAGCTTGAAGAGAGATGGCAAACACCCCTTTTCCTGTATTTTACCATTCAATTGGCTTGCGTGTCGTGTGCCCCACGTTCGACCTTTACGACCGTATTCATATCCAGCCTTTCGTGCTTGGGATAGTTAAAACGCACGCTTTGTCTCTGGGATTGGCATTTACGTATTTAATATTCGAAAAACATGCAAATTATTTAAAGACTTTCCACAAATCTATTGATTCCAGACGGTAAGACATATCAGTTATTCTCTAATGCGCGACGCGATGTATCTAATGTCAGTCTGCTTAATAATTCATAACACAGATGTAACATTCAGAATAACATGTCGACCCCTTGTAGAAGTTTTATCTACCATGCTGACAATCAATTTAAATGTCAACTTCATAACCAAACAGCCGCCTGTTACCTGTGTTACCTGTTCAGTGCGCACTAATGAGCACAACCAGCAACCAACAAGCAACAACAACAACGCTGACAAGTTGCAATGCTGAAAATTAATTACACTGCGGATTGGCTGGCATGTTACCAGTTAATTATGACCTTTTTCGCCTCTGAGTGTGCCGCGACTGCCGACGACAAATTAAAGTTATGGCCGAACGCTACACTGGTATTGGTCCAGCCGACGAACGGCATTTAGCCGGCTGCAAAGGCGGAGGAGGCGTGGCCCAAAACAGGTTTCTTTGTCTTCGCTGTCTGCGTCGCAGCACTCCCCAACGCGCTGAAGTCTTTGTGTCCATAAATCCAATCAACGTCCCTTTTAATGGCGTTTTTGTTCATGAATCCATTTTATCTCTTCTTTCTTTCTCTTTTTATTTTTTTTTATTTTTGCCGTATTCGTTCAATTTGCGGTTGTGTTGTTTTTGGCTTTTATCTTAATTGAGCAACGGACCACACGTGAGTCAAATTTCATGTTCGCATGACTGTTCCACGGCTGTCTAAGAATTTATAAAAGTTATTCCAAAAAACTGTACCTTAAATTTGGAATAGTTCTTTGCGGAATCAAATATTAGTTATTCAATAGAGTGTTAAATTGAACGTGTCATATATTTCTTGACGGTTCCATTATTTAGCAAATTTTGTAAACTTAAATACGTAAAGCCAATCTACATATATTTAAGCGAAAATAATCAAACTTGTATTCCATGCCCTTGGGAACGATGTTCAACTTAATATTACACTCCTTACTTCTTGATATTTTCTTATGTATTCTTTCTGTTATGAAAAATATACTCTTTAATAGACACAAACACACCCTGTAAAGCTTCCCAAAATAGAGAATTTGACATAACTTTAATTCGTATTTTGAATTGCACATTTGGCAGGACATTAAAACGCCACCAAAAAAGAATCAACACGACATTCTGTGCCATTTGGAAAGGGGTCGCTGGGTTGGATGGGTAGTTTGGCGTTAGCGAGTGTCCTCGAGTGTCCAACGAACTGGATCTTGATTAGAATTCTTAAATATTTATAAAAACAATAACAACGACTGGGCCCATTGGGCACACCAAAAGCAAACAGGTAGGTTCGCATGCTCCTAGCATCCGGAATTCGTCCTCCAACCTGGCTGGCGCTTAGCTTGACTGGTGGCACGCCCAAAAGAGGCGCGCCTGTGGGCGCATGAAATTTACATAGAACGGAAATAAATGAAAACAACAGTTAGCCGTGCACGAATCGGGTTATGAAATTAACATTTGGAGCTTTGCCGTGCGCCCGAGCAGCGTTCATTTTGAGCTGAGGCAACGGCCAAGTGGCAAATGCTGCCCCAACGCTTTGCGCCTGCTGATCCAGCATTTGCCTTTTGGCCGCAACTAAAAATGCGAAAAGTCGACAAAAAGTCTAAAAAGTTTTCGGTCCACCCATTCCGGGCTGCGGTGCGGAGTTCTTGCGAAACGAAATGAAATTTTCAGTTGAGTTGCCAGCATCACACGCCCCCTCGACGCTGACTGGGCTGAGCTTATGGATAGGGTATTCTGCTGAGTTGCCGTTGCCACTGCAGCGGAGCTGGCATCCAAAGAGAAATTGGGACGTTGGCATTGGTGGCAGCAGCAACACCGAGGACAGAGTCGACACATTTAACGATTATTGCCGGCCATTAAAAATAACAAGCAAAAGTTTTGCGCATAAAGCCGCTTCGGGGATTCATTCAGCGAATCCAAAGGCGAACAAAACTCTTTTGCCGAATCCTTTCTCAATTGCAATTGTTGATCCTTTCAGCTGCGAAAGGAGGACTTCGGCTCGTTGTCGTTGTCGCAGCTCTTCGCAATGAAATCGCAAAAGTTTAAATTCAATTCAAACCAAGTGAGCATATCTTCGATTTGCATTACCAAAATTGTTTTTATCTTTACATAAGTTAAAGTATTTTGTTAGACTTTCTGAGCCATGTAATTTTCTATCTAAAAAATTCTTACTTTTCAAGGAACCACTTAATAAAGCAATCCGAGGAATTTGCAAAAGAAACTTTTCCTTCAAGCGCAAATAAATAATCGAAAGCCTATAAATTAACTGATTGAAGTTTTTTACATAAGACGTTTGTTCAGGACCTTTCCAGTTATAACAAACACTTATTTAATGCTTGTTATAAATCTTCAATATAATATAAAAATATTTGAATAAAACCCTTCGATTTTTAGATATGATTCACCAATTTAAATTATGCGCAACATTTTCGTTAAACGTAAGAGGCTTGCAGGTATGATTTTATCATAGCAATGAGCTTTACGTCGTTCAGTCGTGAACGTTACATACAATTAACAGAGCATTCCACCAGTTAACATACTTATCCATTGTGATTGAAAATAACATGATGCAAGTTAAACAATTTTTTTTAATACTTTAGATGTGTTTTATATGAATTTAAGTTTAAGTATTTTATGCTTTTATAAAACATACAATTTTTTACGCTGTTCTGCGATATATTTATATTTAGCATTAAGTCCAACTTAAATTTATCAGAAACTCCACCGTTTAACAGAAACGCAATATAACTTCTTCATTTACCAGTGACTCCACCGTTTAACAGAAAATTTCTGTAGTTTATGAAAACTCCACCACGTAACATAATAATAAACGATAACAGACAGCTCCACCACTTAACAGAATAAGAACACGCTGCGGCATTTTTATGGTTTGCCGCTAACGGTCACACTGAGCACGCATTTAAAGTATACAAATTATTAAATAAAACAATTGGCAATAAATACAAGAAATGGATAATGTAAGAGAACTAATACAATTCATGCAGCCCAATCAGCGCCTGGATCTGAAAGCAGTTGCTTTAACACATGTCCTAAGTAGGTGAATGTGGCAGCCAACGCAACACGTGCTCCGCTCCCCAAAAGATTCGTGTGAATGTTTATATGAAATGAATATTTAACATTTTAATAGGTCTGACTGGCAGCACAGAGGGTAAAGATGCAATACTCTCGCTAGAAGATATGTTGATAGCCATTTTCGGACTAACGCTTGATGCCAATTCGACAGTTGCGAAGGATGCAGTCCTCAGTCTGATAAATCTAACGGCGGAAGAAGCCGGCGCAATCAGAGTCTTCGAGTTGGCGAAACAAGTACAGCCCGTAAGTTGAGGTACGCTGATAAGCAAACCACGCACTAATCATTTTAATTGTCAGAGCTTTGACATTGTGGGCGTGGCCGCCAAGCAGATATGCGACGAGCAGGCGGAGCTTGCCGATGCATGGAGCATGGTTCTCAGCAACTTAACGCGCGTCGAGTCGTTGGTGCATGCCATACTGGACACATTGGAGCCGACGTTGCCCAAACTGGCGAAAGCCTTTGCCAAGCTGGATTATAATAAGAAAAAATCCAAACTCCACTATTTGGCGCCCATATTTTGTAATCTTACTCAAGTGCCTCGCGGGCGGGAGCTGTGCTGCCAGCCAAAGTACCAGCTGCTGGAGAAGCTGCTGCCCTTTGCCTCATTTGAGGAGAGCGTAGTACGCCGTGGTGGCACCATTGGCATCATCAAAAACATATGCTTTGATGCCGTGTATCATGATGTCATATTGAATGAGCAGGATGACATATTGGTTGCCATACTGCAGCCACTGTGCGGACCCGAAGAGTTCAGCGACGAAGACAATGAAAAGCTGCCCATTGAGCTGCAGGTGAGTAGCTCATCAAATGCCGGATTTTATGTGTAGTACGCAACATTTTCTCAGTATCTGCCCGAGAGCAAGACTCGTGAAACAGATCCGGACCTGCGCAAAATGTTGTTGGAGTGCCTGCTGCAGCTGTGCGCCACGCGACGATGTCGCGAGGTGCTGCGCGCCAAAGGCGTCTATGAAATACTGCGAGAGTACCACAAATGGGAGGCGAAAGTGGGACGAGACAGCGAATGTCTGCTGGCCTGTGAGAACGTGGTAGATATTCTGATCAAGTAAGTTCGATTTCGGGTAGATTACATTTTTCATATAAACATTGCTGTTCGTTCACAGAAAAGAGGATGAAATTGGCTTAGACAATTATAAAAGTGTGGAAGTGCCTGCAGAGCAGGCCGATAAGTTTATTCAGGAGGATGCCGCGTATGTCAAGAGTCTTTTAGATTAATGCAAATATGAATAGACTTAGTTAAGCACGTATAAAATATTGAAATTTCAATATATATATATATATATATATATATATATATATGCGGATTTATTTGGAAATCTTTGTAGTTCACATGTATTTGTATTTTCTATCTTAATTAGCGCTAGAAAAAGTTGTACGCCTGCATTTAAATGCAAAAGAAACAATTTTATTTCAATTTGATTAGTTTTAGTAGCTGCGTTATTTAGTGTTCCGCTTGCGCTTAAATATAAATATAAACTTCTTAGGTGCTAAATACATTTGCATTCAAAAATGTTTAGCAATATTTTGCCATGAAACTTTCAAGGTTATATTTTATACACTTTGTTTGGTCGTTCATTACTTTTAGTTATATTATTTTTTTTTTTTAATTGTATATGTGAACTGTGTTGAAGAATTTTATTATTTTCATTGCTAGCCAATCAGGTGCTTGGTTTATTTAAACTTTTGCTTTTGATTAAATACTTTTGTTGCATTGCAAGCAAGCGAATTCAGCAAAATTTTGTTATCTTATCAAAAAGGGTGTGCAATCTTTTTTACTTTTAATTTTTTACATTAGATTTTATTCTTTTGAATGCGGAAACCATTACAAGCTCGCTTTGTGTAAAAATGAATAGTGTAATTGTAAACATAAATTAGCTATAAATCGTAAATCGTATTCGTTTGATTATTATTATTAACAATTCTCATTTATAAAATGCTATTGATTTTCTCTTAAGCTTTGCACATAGATTTAGCTTGGTCCTATTGGTTTTTCATTTGAGTTCGTAAAATTTAGTTGAACTTTATAATTAAAAGTTTAGGCTTAATGTAATTTAGCAAGTTGTAAACTTAATTCTTATATAATTCGTTTTATTTGTTAACTAAGAACTGATATCGTACTAAATTTCTTTATTAGGGGCCACTGTTTGAGTTAACTAATTTTAAATAGAGCTGCGAACAGTGGAGGTTGATCATAAAGATCATACAATGCGACAAATGACGGCATATTGCACTAACTATAAATAGATTGAATCGTAGGTAACTTAGCCAGTTTAATTGAGTTAGAGATAAGGCGGTAGTAAAGATTCTATAAAAGTTTCAGTTTATTGTACAAAATCTACCTATGTAAAAACATTTGTTAACAAACGCTTATCGCATGAGGCGCGACAGAACCTCGTACTCAAAGATCTTGACCTCCTCCGAGTCGTAGGGTATGTACAGGCAGCCATGTGAGGGATGTACCTTGCCCACTGTTAGGCTGCCGGCGTGGTAGCCGCGACCGGCATACAATTCCTCGCCATCCACATTGCGACCCACTGGAACGGCACCGATGGGCACTTCGCCATTTGCACCGGGCAACCACACGTAGTTGTGACCACTTAGCACTTCATAGTTCTCCAGCTCTACCTCCTGGCCGGCATAGGCCACGTAGGCCTTGCCCTTGTTTGGTATGATCTTTGCTGGCAGCATGTCGTTGTTGTAGAAGGCACGCCCGATAAATATGGTATCGCCATCGGAGTCATGACCAGCAGCGACGGCGTCTTGCGGCAAAGAGCCGTGACTATAGTGTAACCAACTATGGACTGCAAAGGATTAATGAAAGCGTTAGTTCGTGAGCGACTATCAATTTGTGCCCCGCTGCTTACCAGACATTCTGTTCGACTATCAAATGGGAACTATGCGCTTGTCTGGCAGTCAATATTGCTTATGGAACTTTTTCTAGAATTGGTAATACCATTGATAAAAGCTTATCTTTCTAGTTGTTGTAGACGCTGGTGCGATAGCCCAGTCGGTAATCAGCTGATGAATCAAGCTCTTTATCACAGTCGCAGATGTGGTTGGTTTACCTGTGCAATACGATTTATGCTACGCTTGGCTACAGTAAGGAAATTAATATTAATCATACTTAAATTAGTTATAAAAATTAGCTCCGTTTAAATAATTGAAATAAAATACAGTTGTTCATATTCGTTTACAGTTTGTTTTCGCAGTTTTCTACATTCGTCAACTCTATCTATGTGGCCGCTAATTTATAAGTAGCTTTTAAATAATTGTCGCCTAAAATTCAGCAGTTTCTAACAAATTAATAAATCTATTTACAATAGTCGATCAATACACAGGTGAGTTTGTAAGTAAAAATGTAAATATCTATGTACCTAATCGCTAAAAATAATTGCAATTGAATTTGAATTCTCGTTTTGTCTAGCTTTGATTTTGACTCGATAATTGCCTAGCAGCGCTTTGCGTTTTTTAAAAATAGTAAATAGTTTTAAATTTAGTTGTTTAAATTTTGTTCATTTTTCATCAATTATTGTTAAATATTCATTTATAAATCACATAATTGCTTGATGAATTCCATATAAATACGTTCGCTTTGTTTTGTTTTTAGTTTTTTTTTTTTTTTTTTGGTTTTTTTGCCGTGTTATCCTGTTTTATCCTTGTGTGCAATTACTATTATGTGCAATTGTAGACACTGACAGAGTGAGAGAGCGAGGTCGGGACACACAATAGCTGGTGAAAGAGATAGAGATAGAACATCGAATGAATTGTGTACAAATATATCGCGCAGCTGGATTATCTTAAATGCTTTTTCACATCCAGTTTAGCTAAATTCCCTCATTATTCATGGGATGCAAGCAACATTTGTTTTTGTTGTTCCTCCAGTTGCTGCTCTTACTGCTACCTTGCAGCCCCCAAGAGCAGCAGGGCGATGCTAAGTAGCACGGATTCGATGTCCTTTGGGTGGCTGCCATTGCAGGCATCCGCATCGCTGCAGCTCTGAAGGCAGCCGTGTACGTATCTAAAAGAAACATAAGATGGGTGGCGCAGATAATGTTAAGTTATGGCTCCGACAATGGGAATATATTAGTGTCAGAATGTTCAACACAAAGGTAACATATGAATTTTGTTGCAGACTACTTAATATACGTCAGGGAATACGAAATATTTCTAAGCGGCACTGTGAGCGGGCTTAATCATGAGGTTTATCATACTTGTGCATATAAGGAGGACAAAACATTATACAAATTATCATCATTTAGCATTGTGCGTTCTGTTGAATAACTATACAAAATGGCATTTGCAGCGAATCTTAAATAGCTAACATAATATTCTTATGTTAATGTTAACTATCTGTCAGTATGTAAACCATCTGTCAGTAAAAACGATAGCTTCACATAATCAAAATGTAATTTAAACCAGTGCATGTTTTATATCGGTTGATGGAAATCGAAGAAAATATTGCCTTAATACGCATCAGATTATTCTATCAGTTCATAAAATATTATTACAAATTCAAAGTACGCAGTTTATTGCCCTAATAAGGGAGCTGTGTAAATCAGGTAATAAAGTTCATGCGCGTCATAAAATAAAAGATATGCTTGGTGGGGTCACGCACCTGTTGTCATAGTAGAATTTACCACAATGCGACATTCTTATGAGCTCCGTGTCTGTTGTGAGTGTGCCACTGTCCAGAGCGCAGCCTCGCACTGTTATCGTCTCGCCGGTGTCATCTGCAATTGCAATTGCAATTCAATCATATTATCCATCCATTCTCTGCCCCATCACTCACCATAATAGCCGGCGATTTTTATGCAGGCCGTTGCGGGGAAGAGGCCATCGCGACCCTTGCGACCGCCCATACAGGGCGACTCGAGTATGGCGGTGGAATAATTATTATGAAACGGATCATCGCACGCTTTATTGGCGCCGTTATACGAAACGCACTTGAAGCAGTCTATGCAGTAGCCTGTCAGAGAGAATAAAATGGAATTCGTTGGGGCTGGATTTCAGAAGGACTTCTGCAAAGTCGACTTGCTTACCGCTGCGGATAAGCAGGCCGAGCAGCAGCACCAGGCAGCTGATGAGTTCCATTGATGTGGCCGTCGCCATGCTTTAAACACTCAACTCTCGGACTCACAGAATGCTGAATGGGGGTAGCGTTATGTGGTCCAATGCCAATGCGGGCGTTGCAACATTTTCAGCCTGAAAGCAAAGAAAAAATCTTTTATGACTGATTGGTTATGCGTCTTCTGTTGATGGCCAACAAATTGAAAATGTCAAAATGAAGACCTTGGCGTATGCGGGCTTTGAGTTTTTGCCATTTTCATAATTAGATTTTGTGCACATCTCTGGCCTATTCATGAGTTAAGACTTCAGATATGGTTTTGAAAACCCAATGCTTAAAAGCGTCAAGGTCGTAAAAATCAAAAGTTCTCCTGTTTTAATTTCATGCGGGGGCCATAAAACTCTCGTCGGGACATGCGAAATGCAATTCCACAGAAGATGAGGCGCAGCCAAAAGGGAAGGTAATAAATTTTACCACACCAATTTTTGACACATTTTTTGTTCAGCTTTTTTTTGCGTGGTCTTAACTTTGGCGGGATAAGAGGCGGCGTTATGGGCGTGTGGCATATTTTTTATTGCCGGAGTGTAAATAATTGCTTTCCAGTCGATTTTCATGTCGAATGTGCGCCATCTTTTATTTTTTTTTATAGCTGATGTTAATGGATGTTGTTGTTGTTGGCAGTTGTTATTTCTGGCAGTTTAACGGCCGCAGGCAGCTGGCTTGGCAAATTTTCTCTTGCTACGAAGTCGCAAATTATGACAAATGACAAATGAGTTCGACTTACGAGCAGCATCCTGCCAAGAACTGTAGTTAAGCCATGAGCTCATAATTTATGTGACCTGTAAGTGGGCATCACAAACGATCGAACATCTCGACAATCAAGCTCTATACTAATATATTCAGCAAACATATTAATTAATTTTCATTGCATTGTTCTCAATGAAGAAATTCAACGCATGCATCGTCCTTTGCCAGTCAATAAAATTGAATTGCCTGCCTTGATATATCACAGGCAAATGCGATTTATGTACGCGTGAAATCAGTTGAGGAATATGGCTTTGGCCCATGAAAACAAACGACACAGCAGCAACTAAATCAAATATTTATAGAGTAAACACGCTGCCGGCCCATCGATGGCCATAGCTCAAACACTTCGGATGTGGCCATGAATACCACTGAAAGGCAGCGGTTGCCATGCATTTTATACTAAAGCAGAATTCAATTTTGCAGCCAATAAAAACATTAATCTGATAGCTTTAATATGGCTCTATGCATACGCAAGCTCATCTACAATCATAGCTACTCATGTTCATTTTAATTCCTTATTGCAAGTTACAGATCTGACAGGTTGAGTGAATGAAAACATGAAAATCTGTTTGGTTAACCGGTCGTTTGTTTGATGTTTTCACCGCAATTACGTGCATAAATCATACGCCTCGTTATTCTAAGCAAATTGTGTGCATATATCTTTGTTGTTTACTATTTTGATATTGTAAACAGGTAAATGGATCCAAAGTAAGGGTACGTAACATAATTAACACGGCAGATAGTTACAATATGTCTAATCTGCCTTAAGACTTTATACTCGATACAGGTGGGCTTTCGAAGCAAATGGTAAACGAATGCTGTTAGGTTAACAATTCCTTTTCCCGGGTTAAAGTGTTCTGATAATGCATTCACCTGCGCCAGCAGGCAAGGAAGCAAGATTTAATTAAATTGAAAAAGGTGCTCGCCTCAGAACTTCTTCCTCTTAAATGTCTCAATTCTATTTGCAAATTAGCCACTAACCAGACAAACTGCCGAACAGACTGCCTGACTCGTCTTGGCTGACTGACAAGCGCCCCTCCACACCCACACCCACATAACGGTTCTCGCCTCTGCCTTTTGATTGTCTTTTGTTCTTTGTGCAGTGTGTTGTTGCTATTGGTCGACTTATTGTTGTAGTTCTCTCTGAAGCTCATAAATATATAAAATGTTGTCAGTGTCTCTCGCATCGTGGTGACTGTCAGCTCGGTGGTTGTCCTCGTTGTCATTGTCCTCTTTTAACGACTGTCAATGTGCTTGTTAGTTGTTGCCTAAGTAGTCGAAATAGTCCCCCTTGTATGTGTGTTTTTGTGCCTGGACTTATTTAATTTTGTGGCTACCTTTATGGTCAGGCTACGGACGAGCTGCCGTGTAAATGTTTATGAAAAAGTAGAAAGTTGGCCAGCGTGTAAGAGTGGAAAAGTGTTTGCTTCGTTTCCCCTAATTTCTCAATGGCAACTCAATTAGATGCATTATTCACAGAGTCTATTCAGTAATGGTAAATTTAGGTCTTTTTTCTTTGGAAGTGCCTATCCGGTTGATGTAGGAGCCAACTTGGCCTGTCCCGTGGCGCACATTAAAAATGAAAAATGACAAAGCTACCTAAAAAGCATAAGTCAGATTAATAAAACCTCGGACCAGCTAACCCCAAGCAATCATCTCATTAATTTCTTGATCTTCTTGCAATGGCGCTTGTTGGCGATTCAGGGCTATGCCAAGTGCGAGCCTATTTATAGCCTGAGGTTCCTAATTGAGGTTTCTCATTAGCTGTAGGTTGACGTTTAAAAAGCACCTGCAGGAAAAATGCGGCCTATAAAATCTTGGTTTATTAGTGCAATATGTAGAGTTAGAACAAGAGGGATTATAATCATTAAGAACGTCATGCTAGCAAACTTTCAAAAGACAAGGAACTTGCTTTGTTTGCCGCCACTGCTGAAACTGAATGATTTATTATGATTTTGGCTTTGACAATGATAATCGCGCATAAGGAGGCTTTTGCTTGAATTCGATCTGCTCGCCTGTAGTCGAAGTCCCGTGATTAAGCACATCGCAAACCCGATATTATCGGCACAATCATCACTCCCTCTCCCTCCCAGTCCCTCAGAGAACAGCTGACAAGGGTCACAGTGGCAGAGGCGACAAAAAGTCAATACAATGGCAACAAGCAAATTCAGGCCGAAAGTTTAGACAAAGGTCTCCCTGCCCAACGACCCATGTGGCCTTTTCAACAGCCGCGTGTGTCACTGCGCCTTAATGGCCTGGAAGTAAATGCCACATAGCGTCCATTTTGCTGTTCAGTTTCAAATTTCAATCAAACTTGCAAAGTTTTTCTTGCTCTTTTTTAATAGTCCCCATGCTTGCCCTGCCAGAATTTCAATTTCTGTCAAATTAACTTTAAATAAATTTAACATAAACAAGCAAAAAGAGCAGCTCAAATGCTAGATGCCAAACTTATTGTGGAAATGGCCAATTATTAAATTTATATTGTCTCAAAAACTTTTAGCCAGAAGAAACTTTTACATTTACCAATTTAGAAACCGACTTTGTTACATACTTTTTTTTTTTGAGTTAGCTTAAAATTTTCAAATATTTTCCTAGTCCAGCCCGACACCTTTAATTTGCTCTGCTGGTCACGCGTTGTCATTGAGAGAAAAATAAATTTCATGCATAGCACACACTCACACACGGGCACACTCTCGCACACAATTACACGTGGACGCACACATAAAAGGGCCAAATGCATTTGCATAACTGCAACTTTAAGTGGAAATTTTGTTGTCTCTGGACCTTTACTCTTTACACTTTTTATAAATGATCTTCCTTCTGTTATATCACATGCCCGTGTACTCATGTATGCGGACGATGTCAAACTTTTTCTATCATACACTAACCCCCTACATCATTCTCGTCTACAAGACGATTTGAACGCTATGCAACTTTGGTGTTCGGCCAATCAATTGCATCTAAATTGTTCAAAGTGTATGTTTATGACTTTTAATCGTACTACACCTTATCTTGTTAGTTATACAATCGACAATATCCCTTTGCAACGTATACTAACAGTTAAGGATCTTGGCGTTATTTTTGATTCTAAACTCTGTTTCAATCTTCATATAGATACCATTGTTAATGAGGCAAAAGGTGTACTTGGATTCATTAAACGATGGTCTAAAGAGTTTAACGATCCTTTTATAACAAAACTTCTGTACATCTCTCTTGTTCGCCCTATCCTTGAATACTGCTCTTGCATCTGGTCTCCACAGTATATCAACAGCCAGGATCGTATTGAATCTGTTCAGAAGCAATTTCTGCTTTTTGCCTTACGAGGTTTAAATTGGGACCCTAATCTTCGGTTGCCGTCCTACTCCAGCAGACTGCTTCTTCTCAACCTTCCGTCGTTAATCAACCGTAGGACAATTCTCGGTGTTGTCCTTCTACATAAGTTGATTATTGGCGACATTGATTCTCCTTTTCTGCTAGGGCGTCTTCAATTCTCTGTTCCGGCTAGACCAACCAGAAATTATCGCCCCTTATTACTATCTACGTGCACAACAGATTACGCTATGCACAATTCTTTTCGCGTGCTATGTAAAAATTATAATAGTTTGCATCACGTTTTCTCTACCGAACTGTCTCTACCCCTAATAAAATCGTTGCTTTCAGGATACCTTCGGGAAGTCGCTGACCATTCCCAGCTATGAGCAGGGGCATAGCTAGCCGGACAGGCTGAAAAATTTTCCCCCACCGTGTCGGTGATTTCCCAATACTTTTCTCTTTGTCCTATCCACTTAACACTCTTTATCTAACTTACATTGCTTTACTTTATTAACAATTTTCTTACTTTCTTTTTTCCTATTTATTGTATTTTCTTTATTAATTTAGCAAATTAAGATTATTTTTAATTTCACTTGAGATCACTTTTTTCCTACTTACAACCTTCTGCTTAGATGTAGGCTCTAATAGCGTCACTGACAAAATTAGCTGTGAAAAGGGGCACAGCTGGCCGGACTGGCAAATAAAACACCTCCATCGGTCGGTGATGCTATTTAGAAAATTGTATCCTTTAACTAGGCTTTTAGAATATACTTATATTGTACAACCTTTTGAATAATGAGGAAGACACTCGTTTTGTCGACCATTAATAAATAAATAAATAAATAAAAAATGGGTAAACCGTGAATTGCATTTGCAATTTACAGCTGCGATTTGCAGTTAGTTGGCACCGTACGTGGGCATGTGTGTGTAATTGTTCTGATACCCTCACGTAGAGAAGAGTGTTCAAATAACGAGGCAACAGTAGAAAATGTGACACTAGTTCAGAGTTATTCAGTGT